GGTCCTTTAAGGAACAGTCCTATACTTATATATAGTGGCATGAATTATCAGGAAAACTATGTAACTTTTTCAGTTCATACTTAACTGTGGCCACCTTTAATGATAGAATATCGCTGTGTGTGTGTATATATATATATATATATATATATATATAGTTAATACATTGCTTAATACAAATACACACACCATTAAAGCCATAAGACTTGCTTTTCCCACAGAAATCACTTTAACAGTGCTCTCACTACTGCAAGGGATTCTGGGTAGGCGTATGCAATTGAGCTCAACAAAGAACCAGGGCCTGTCTTAGAGGTGTGCGAGCTGTGTGACTGACACAGCTTGCACATGACCGGATTTAAAGTTTGTGCACCTGCTACTCAGGGGGAGCTAAGTGCGCCCAGAAGCCGGTGCTGCACAGGAAGGGGGAAGCAAGAAGGAGTCCCTGCTTCCCCAACAACTCCATGAGCTGCAACTGCAGCTCTCCTTCCTTACAGCTAATTATGGAGAAAGGTAACTTTCCACGTGTGTGACTGTCTTCTCTGTGTGTGACTGTCTCACCTGTGTGTGGCTGTCTGCCTGTGTGAGACTGTCTCTTCTGTGTGTGACTGACTGCCTGTGTGTGTGTGACTGTCTGCCTGTATGTGTCTGTAACTGCGTGCGTGACTGTCTGCATCTATGCATGTAACTGTGTTTGACTGTCTGCCTGTGTGTGTGACTGTGTGTATGACTGTCCCCTATACAAACACTAAACCCCTATACACACACACACACACTACACATGTATTGGGGGGGTAGGCACTGTCAATATTTTTCGCACAGGGCGCCTAAAGGCCTAAAAGCAAGTCTTATGCAGGGCCGGACTGGCCCACCGGGATACCGGGAAATTTCCCGGTGGGCCGCGGCACCTGGGGGCCGGCCGCGTTCCTGGCTGGAGCTGCCGGGCCTGGTGGCAGCTTCCCCGGTCCGGCGGCACTCCTGTCACTGCTGTGGATGATGGAGGAGGAGCCTGTCTCTGTACCATGCTCCCTCGCAGAGGGACATGCTCCTCCTCCATCAGCCACAGCAGTGACAGGAGCAGGGCCGCCGGACCGGGGAAGCTGCCACCCGGCCCGGCGGCTCCAGCCAGGAACGCGGTTGGCCTCCTGACTTCTCCAGGTAAAGGGGGGGGAGAGGGGAATAGAGGGAGGAGGGAGAGACACAGAGAGAGAGATGGGGAGGAGGGAGAGACACAAGGAAAGGGGGGAGGGAGAGAGATGGGGAGGAGGGGGGAGAGACACAAGGAAAGGGGGGGAGAGAGATGGGGAGGAGGGGAGAGACACAGGGAAAGGGGGTAGGGAGAGAGATGGGAGGAGGGGAGAGACACAGGGAAAGGGGGGAGGGAGAGAGATGGGGAGAAACACAGGGAAAGGGGATAGGGAGAGAGATGTGGAGAGACACAAGGAAAGGGGGTAGGGAGAGAGATGGGGAGGAGGGAGAGACACAGGGAAAGGGGGGAGGAAGAGACACGGAAAGGGGGTGAAAGAGGCAGGGGGGGAAGAGAGAGACTGGGAAGGAGAGGGGAGACATTGACACAGAGGAGCAGTGAGGGGGAGAAAGAAACATACAGAGTGACTGGGGGAGACAAAAAGGCACACAGAGGGGCTGGAGATAAAGAGACACACATAGGGGCAGTATATATCACTGGTGGATGGGGGGGCCGGCCGATCTCCCTCCCCGTTCCACAGCAGGGGAGGAAGAGAGGATCTGGGGCAACGCTCCGGCTCTCACGAGGGTGAACTCTCACCACTTCCTGGTGGTTCCAGTAGTAGGAGTGAACTCTAGCCCCATACACACACTGCCCCACACACACACACCATACACATTCACACACTGCCCCCACACACACACACCATACACATTTCCACACTGCCCACCCACACACTGAACCTTTCACACACATTGCACCACTGCTCCTATACCCTACTACAGCCCCATATCCCAGCAGACTCCAGGTAAGTTGTCAAACTGTTCTTAAACGGTTTGACGACTTACTCTGGGAGGGGGTGCCGACGCTCCTGGCACCATAACCACTACACAGAGGAGTAGTGGTTATTGTGCATGGAATATTTCTTTAAATAATCTACAAGTGCCCCTCTCAGGCTCAGGCTCTGGATCCGCCACTGGTATATGACATGTATATTAATGTGTGTATTAGTTATATATATATATACATATATATATATACCTATTATATTTACACATATTAATGTACATTTATAAATGCATAATACACAGAGAAATTTCATTAATATGTACCATATGTAATGAGCAGATATTGGCCCAGTCTTGTTGCTAGGTGCATACTCCAGCACAATAACATATTTAAAGTGAAGAGCACACCCACAGGACTTCAAAATAAACATTTTTTCAGTTGTGCCCTACATACATTCACCATTTCAGTCCCATTAACAAGCTTTCCTTAATATGTCAAGGTAGTTGGACTGAAACATTGATTACATGCAAAGGCACGTCTGCTTAAAATAAATCTGCACTTTTGTTTATTTTGAAGCTTATGAGTGCACTTTTTACTTTGAAGTACTTTTTAATTTTAAGTTCTGTTCTAACTCTGTATCTGCACACTATGCTGGCACGACGCATTATGGGGTTGGTAAATATTTTTTTTCCAGGGCTGCTTTTAATTCCCAGTCCGGCCCTGGTGTCTCCTCTCCCTGAAACTCACTCTGCCACTGGGGAGTGAGACCGGTTGTCTCCCCCACCCTGTAGGATACACTGACACTGGGGAGAGAGACCAGTTGTCTCCTCTCCGTGCAAGGAAAACGGCCACTGGGGGGAAGGACAACACCTTCGGCCCCCTGGATGCACCCTGCCGCTGGGGAGAGAGACCGGTTGTCTCCTCTCCCAGCAAGATAAACTGCCGCTGAGGGGGTAGGATGACACCTTCGGCTCCCTGTAACACATACTGCCACTGGGGAGAGAGACCAGTTGTCTCCTCCTCTCCCTGACACTCCCTCGGCCGCTGGAGGGGAAGGACGACACCTTCGGCTACCTGGAATGCACACTGTCGCTGGGGAGAGAGACCAGTTGTCTCCTCTCCCTGCAACTCACTCTGCCGCTGGGGAGGAAGGATGACACCTTCGGCTCCCTTTACTGGACACTGGAAGGACGACACCTTTGACTCCTTGCACTACACCAGGCTGCTGGGGATCTGGGCCGGCTGCCCAGAATCCCTGGAGGGCCAGTGGAGAGACCTCGGTCCCATCTCCACCTGCCATCTGGGGGTCTTCCCAGGACCAGTCTATGATGTCTCTCCAGCTGAAGGGGTGTAGGTCTGGGTCTGCCACCCAGCTCTCCAGCTTTGCCTGCAGCGTAGATGGGGGCTGAATTGAGCTGAGCAGGCGTTGGTAGGCCTGCTCCAGCTCCCACTCCATTGTTACCAGGTGGTTCATGTCTGGTTTCACCTCGTTGTCGTCAGCCCAAACATGCATGCCCATCCTGTAGTCAAAGATGTCCCAAAATCCTCCGTGCTGTCTAAATCAATGTCCTCCTCCAGGGCATCCAATAGTAGACCAGGGCCATCGTACTCATTACCCTCGGGCCTGTCGTGCTCATCCATCCCGGGGGTATGTTGCACCGTATACCACCATAGGGCCTGGTAGGCGTCCTCCAGCCAAATCTCCTTCAATACTAGGTTCTCGAGCTCTGTTACCCGCTTGTCCAGGGGCTGCTCTCCCAGGAAAGGCATTCGTAGAGCCACTTGCATCTGTTGCCGCTGCTCTTTGTTGGGGGGGAGCCTCTTGCCCCGCTGACGCTGTACATCCTCCAGGGCTTCGTCTCAAAGTTCCTTTCTGGCGGCCTCTCGGTAGCCAATCATGGCCCCTTCTGATACAGACTCGAGGGCTCCAAGCACTTCTCCAGACACCATAAGTGCTGCAGACCCCAAGAACCACCGCTGCTTGGTTGGGGTCTCGCCATCACCTACCCACCCTGGACCTACGACAAGGCTCCAGGTTCCAGTGGGTGAACCTCTCTTCCTCCAGAGAGCGAAGCAGGAACAGCTCTTACAAGAGCTAGTGATTATCCAAGGGAGTATAGTGATTATAGCAATCCCTTGTAGCAGTTTCCCCCAATAAGAGACAAGACTCTAGATTGAGGGTAAAATTAGAACAGAAGATTTATTGTGGCACATTGCCTTTTATGCAGTTTTCCCCACAAGGTTACCACCCAGGTGGACTTGTGGGGCACAGGGACACAGGAACAACAAGCCAATAAAAACATAGTTTTACATTCAGTCACTCCCATACAGTGTACACAATCCCTCCCCTCTTCCTGTGATATAATTAACAAAGACAATGGACTAACTCAATTAACTCTAAGCAGAAAAAACATACATTTTTACAAAGTCTGAAAAACAACCCAAAACACCACATATCCCCACAAATGTCACATCCATGGATAGCCTTGATCTGGGTGAACAACGTATCCAAAAATCACCCTGATCAAAGCATGGGTTCAGGAAATTCCTGGAAGTCTCTTTTGACCCACTGTGCACATGGTCTCTTGCCCAAAACAGTTCCATACACTCAACGACAAAAAAAACGCTGGCCATTCGACAATTTAAGATGGCCGCCGCCACGTGTTTGAATCTGTTCCAGTTAAAAGTCCAAGGGGCAGAAACAGTACTTTTGAACATGGGTTATCACAGGGCCCATAGTCCCAGGGTAGGAGGCTGGCAACCAGGCCCCTCCAGAAAGCCGTGGAGAGGTCATTTTCACCACATAGCCCTCAAAGCAATATGTCATGTTTGCTTGCTC